AAAAAAAAAAAAAAATTACAAAAAATAAAAGAATATCCCAAAAAGAAGACAAAATTCCTTTTGAGGAGCTTAGTGGAAGTAAGATGTGTATAAGTCATGGACACAGAGACAAAAAGAGAAGCAGTGCATGTGGGCAGAGTTCTGTAGGGCAGATCTTCTTCAGCAGTGCCCAGAGTACTTTCTTAGGGGATGCAACACACATTTTTAAACCATTTTAATTTGTTTGGTCTTTTATTTATTGTAAAACCAATCTTGTAATACTACTAAAGGAAATGTTTCAAATGATAAAAATATTTACTCATTCTGCTATCCCCAAGACAATGGTTTTACTCTTTTTCTCCATGCATTTCTTTTATAACTGCTGTCAATTTAAGTATTTTTGCTTTGCCTTTTAAATTATTTTAATTTTTTTTTGAGGTAGTGTCTCATTTTGTTACCTTTGGTAGCATGCCATGTTGTTATAGCTCACATCAACCTCAAACTCTGGGGCTCAAGCGATTCTTTTGTCTCAGCCTCCCAAGTAGCTGTGACTACAGGCATCTACCACACCACCCAGTTAGTTTTTTTTTTTTTAGAGACGAAGTCTTGCTCTGGCTCAGGCTGGTCTTGAACTCATGAGCTGAGGCAATCCACATGCCCCGGCCTCCCAGAGTTCTAGGATTATAGGTATGAGCCATGGAGCCCAGCCTATTTGTTTGTTTGTTTGAGACATAGTCTCCCTTTATCATCCTGAGTAGAGTGCTGTGGCATCATAGCTCATGGCAGGCTCCAACTCTTGGGCTTAAGTGATTCTCTTGCCTCAGCCTCCCAAGTAGCAGGGACTACAGGTGCCCATCACATTTCCTGGCTGTTTTTGCTTTTGGTCAGGCTGGTGTTTGTTTTTTGAAACAAAGTCACTGCAGTGTCAAATTCCGGCTCAAGCAGTCCTTCTGCCTCAGCCTCAGCCTCTTGAGTTGATAGTACTATAGATGTGAGACACTGTGCTTGGCTAATTTTTCTATTTATTGTGGATACAGTGTCTCACTGTGTTGCCCAGGCTGGCCTCACAAAGTGCTAGGATTACAGGCATGAGCAACTGCATCTGGCCTGCTTTGCTTTTTTTATCATCTTGAAAAAAATTTTTTTTCTATGCTGTAAGATTTTTTGTTTTTTTTTTTTTTTTTGGTTATGCTATCTTTTCTCTCTCTCTCTCTTTTTTTTGTAGAGACAGTCTCACTTTATCGCCCTTGGTAGAGTGCCATAGCATCATATAGCTCACAGCAGCCTCCAACTCCTGGGCTTAGGAGATTCTCTTGCCTCAGCCTACCAAGTAACTTGGACTATCGGCGCCCGGCCACAATGCCCAACTGTGTTTTTGTTGCAGTTTGGCTGGGGCCGGGTTTGAACCCGCCACCCTTGGTATATGGGACCACTGAGCCACAGGCACCGCCCTGGTTATGTTATCTTTTAAAGCAATATATAACGACCCTGTGATTTCCTTATATTGGCTTTTTTCACCCTCTTGTTTTTCTATTACAAGTGAAGCTTCAACAAAAATCATTGTGGATAGAGCTTTTTTCAGATCTTTTGAGTTTATCCCTATGGGTAAGTTCCCTAGAACTGGATTATTTAATAAAGATTGTGAGCTGCCACGCGCAGTGGCTCATGCCTGTAATCCTAGCACTCTGGGAGGCTGAGGTGGGTGGATTGCCTGGGCTCATGAGTTCAAGACCAGCCTGAGCCAGAGTGAGACCCTGTCTCTAAAAATAGTGGGGCTTTGTGGCAGGTGCCTGTAGTCCCAGTTGTTTGGTAGGCTAAGGCAAGAATTGCTTAAGCCCAAGAGTTTGAGGTTGCTGTGAGCTGTGAGCCACTCCACTCCACCGAGGGCAACAAAATGAGACTCTGTCTCAAAAAAAAAAGATTGTGAGTAATTTTATGGTTTTTGATATGTATTGCCAAACTGCCATAAATAAGTATGTGTGTATGTAAACATTATTATATCATGTTATGTTATAGTAGTATTGGTGCTGATTTAATTTGACAGAGTACCTATTATTTTATATCATTTTTACTAGAATCATTGTCTTTCCTTTGTATTGTCTTTGAACCTTCTTTGTATTGTTAGTATAAAGCTCATCATGATCTGATCCTTAGTAATGATTGATAGCTAGTTTTTCCTGTTCCCACTTATTTGTAAACTCCTATTTGATTCACATTCACAGTACTTATTAGGAGTCACTAAATTTCTTTTTTTTTTTAGTTGCCCTGGGTAAAGTGCTGTGGCATCACAGCTCACAGCAACCTCAGACTCTTGGGCTTAAGCAATTCTCTTGCCTCAGCCTTCTGAGTAGCTGGGACTATAGGCACCTGCCATAATGCCTGGCTGTTTTTTGTTGCACTTGCCACTGCTGTTTTAGCTGGCCGGGGCCGCTTCGGATCTGCCACCCTAGGAATATGGGGCCGGTGCCCTACCCACTTAGCCACAGGCACTGCCTTTTTTTTTTTGAGACAGAGACAGAGTCTCACTATGGCACTCTACCATAGTGACTCTCGGGCACCAGCAGAAGTCACTAAATATTTGAAAAAAAAATTTTTTTTGAGACAGAATCTTACTTTGTCACTTTTGGTAGAGTGCTATGGTGTCATAGCTCACAGCAACCTCAAACTTTTGGGCTCAAGTGATTCTCTTGCCTCAGCCTCCCAAGTAGCTGGGACTGCAGGTGTCTGCCACAATGCCTGGCTATTTTTAGAGATGAGATTTTGCTCTGGCTCAGGCAGTCCACTCACTTTGGCCTCCCAGAGTGCTAGAATTATAGGTGTGAGCCACTGCACCTGGCCTGAAATTTTCTTGAGTAGTCATCTACTTGTATAATAATTAGATGTAAAAAAAATGATAAAATATGTTGTGTTAGTCTGGGCAAGCGTCTTAGAAGAAGAGCGTGATGTGCGATTTAATGTCACTTTTTCTTTCTCAGTTTGTTAGCTTTAGGACTGAAGCATTTTGAAGGCACTGAGTTTCCTAACCCTCTAATCAGCAAGTACCTTTTAACCTGCAAGACTGCCCGCCAACTGACCGTGAGAATCAAGAACCTCAGCATGAACAGAACTCCTGACAACATCATTAAAGTGAGTGCTGCCTGTATACTTTACCTGGGTACCTTGCCTACACATATCCATTCTTTTCCTTCTTAGTCTCAAAGAACAGAGGGGATTCTTTTATCTCAGATTAATTACTCCCGCCTATATACTAGATTAATTCCCCTCTTGCCTTTTCAGGAACATTTATCCATTATTTTCCTCTGTATTAGCTTTATCCTTTTCTTACAGATATTTCCCTTAAATTTAAAATTGTTTAAGTCTTAAAAGATTTCACGAATTCATGTTACCCTTTAGTCATATATTCTCTCTTTCTCTAACTTTCTAGAAAGAGAATAGATAGTATTCTACTTATAGGCTTCTCATTAACTCTTTACTTTTTTTTTTTTTTTTTGTAGAGACAGAGTCTTACTTTATTGCCCTCAGTAGAGTGCCGTGGCATCACACAGCTCATAGCACAGCAACCTCCTACTCCTGGACTTAGGCGATTCTCTTGCCTCAGCCTCCCGAGTAGCTGGGACTATAGGCGCCCGCCACAATGCCTGGCTATTTTTTTCTTGTAGTTCAGCCGGGGCCAGGTTTGAACCTGCCACCCTCGGTATATGGGGCCAGCACCCTACTCACTGAGCCACAGGTGCCGCCCTAACTCTTTACTTTTTGTAGACATGAGCTCTCACTGTGTTGCCCAGTCTGGTTTGGAACACTTGGCCTTCAGTGAGCCACCTATCTTGGCCTCCCAAAATGCTGAGATTATAATAGTGAGCCATTGCCTTACTCTTCTTTTTTATTTAGATATATTCATAAAAGTTATATATTTAAAGAGCAAATAGTTTTAAGCAGTTTAAAGAGTCAAATAGGTTTATGAAAATTATCATGAAGGCCCAGCACAGTGGCTCACACCTATAATCCTTGCACTCTGGGAGGCCGAGGTGGATAAGATTGCTTGAGCTCAGGAGTTCCAGAACAATCTAAGCAAGAGCCAGACCCTGTCTTACTAAACATAGAAAATGAGCAGGGCATGGTGGTAGGTGCCTATAGTCCAGCTACTTGGGAAGCTGAGGCATTAGGATTGCTTGAACCTAAGTTGGAGGTTGCTGTGAGCTATGATGACACCACAGCACTCTACCCAGGCAACAAAGTAACATTGTCTCAAAAAAAAAAAAAAAAAAACAAAAAAGAATTGTCACAGAAAAAATATTTTTCACCTTTTCTTGCTAGTCAGGCTTTTTTTTTTTGAGACAGAGTC